ACATATATTAAGTCCGATGGAAATAAGTGTATTAGAAAAGGGACTAAACTTCAATGTAGCGGTGGACAAGCTAAAACCTGAGGATGTCATCCCTAAAATAGAAATAGCACTAAGTGGGATAGACAAAACAACAGCTGAAGAAGTACGTGCACAATGTGCACTTACATTAAAACGACAAAAATGTGGAAAACCTAACCTGACAAAACAAGAGACAAAAGCCCTAAAACACCTCAAGAATAACAAGGATATAGTAATCACAAAGTCAGACAAAGGGAACGCAACAGTAGTATTAGACAAATCGGACTATTTGGACAAGGTAAATACTCACATACAAACAGGACCATATGAGGAAATTAATAAATCAATAGACACAGTTATGAATAAAGTTAAGAAATCCACAGCGGACCTTATACGCCGAATGAAGCCGTTTCTAGGTGAGTCTAAGTGGTTTAATTTAATGCCAAAAACTAATAACCCCAGTAGGATGTATGGTGTTGTTAAAATTCATAAATCAGGATACCCTATTAGGCCTATAGTTGATTTTAGAAATTCACCTACCTATGAATTATCTAAATATTTAGCCATGGTATTAAATCCCCTAAAAATCCACTCGAAATCTAGACTAACTAATTCTTATGAACTAAAACACAGATTAGATAATTTAAAATTAGATAATGAAGAAAAAATGGTTAGTTTTGACATTGTCAGTTTATATACACGTATACCAATAAATATGGCTATAGAGGCGGTCAGAAACGAACTCATTTCTGACCAAGAACTCGAACTTAGGACAAAAGTGCCAATTGAGGACATAATGCTGGGAGTACAGCTTTGCCTGACTTCTACAGTATTTAAATTCCAAGGGAAAATATACAAACAAACTGAGGGAGTTGCCATGGGATCACCAATATCCCCGGTGGTAGCAGATATATTCATGGATAGGTGGGAAAAGATAGCGATTGAAACGTTCACCCCCACCCCAAAAGTATGGTGGAGGTATGTAGATGACACATTCACTGTACTTAGAACACAAGATATAGATAGATTTTTCGAGCACATCAACTCGAAGGTAGAGGCAATTCAATTCACTTATGAATTGGAAAGTCAGGAAGGGGAACTTCCAATGTTAGATTGCAACGTTAAAAGGAAAGAAGATGGGAAGCTAAACACTAGTGTTTACAGAAAACCCACACATTCAAACAGATATTTGGATTTCCGATCATCCCATCCTATGTCAGTAAAAATAGGATTAGTGAAATGTTTAAATGACAGAGCACAAAAACTAAGTAGTACCAAGGAAAATCTAAGACAGGAAGTGACACACATAAAAGAAGCCTTGAAACTTAATAATTACCCGGATAAATTAGTCAAGAAATATGTAAGTAAATGTAAAAATAAAATAAATAATGATAACAGAGATAGTGATAATAATAATAATGATAACAATAATAATAATAATAATGGTAATAATAATAGTGATAATAATAATAATATAATATTAATAACGACACCAACAATAAGGAATGTAAATCATCAACAATAATTCCATACAAAGAAGGAACCTCGGAAGCCTTACGCAGAATTCTTAACAAGGCAGGAATAAAAGTGGCATTCAAACCCACAAACTCAATTAGAAACAAGCTTTGTCGGTTAAAGGATCCTGTAGAGCCATTAAAACAAAACAATTTAGTTTATCTAATACCCTGCAATGATTGTGAGGTCAAATACATAGGTCAAACTAGTAGAACAGGGGCAGTCAGACTAGCCGAACATAAAAACCTAGCTAAATCTAGATTGGTTGACCCGAATAAGATAAGAAATCTAGAGAGTAGTTCAGCTATAGCACTACATGCAGTTACACACAACCATACAATAGGATGGGATAGGATGACAGTTTTAAAATCTAATGTCACAGGGTATAGGGAGAGATTGATAACAGAAGCTTTGTTTATCGAATCAACTGCAAATACATGTAATAGGAATGATTCAACACCTGTCCCAGATATATGGAAAATTCTACTGCCCATACAACAAATAGGAGAAGACAGAGAAAACTATAAAAATCAAATCTCGAAGTCGTGTGACAAAAATTGATATGATTATGAACAATAAATTGTGTTCGAAACGTCATCCAGTATACAATACTGTTTCACTGTGTGATACATTTAATAATCAAACTAATATGGAATTACTTAATACCACAGTGCCCAAGTTTTACACATGTATTAAGTCGTCCTTCTTTGGTAGTTTCACGAGGTAACCGTACCTCCAGTCAGTAGGCACCTTTCCCTCCTTCCAGACTTTTTCAATAATGGAGTCTGCATGTCTACTGTAGTCTCTGGGTCCGCTTTCAGTGCTTCAGGGGGTATTCCATCTGGTCCGGCTGTTTTTCCAGCTTTCAGAAGTTTGATTGCATTCAAGACTTCAACTTTCGTTGGAGGATTGATGTCAACTTGCAGTTGTGTGATGTTCGGTTAAAGAGCCCTATGAAGTGGTCCGCCCATTGTTTAATCTGTTTTTCTTCCTTGGTAATGGGCTTCCCTTGGCTGTCTTTTATAGGTTTCACTTGTGTTGATCTCTTCCCGGATAGAGATTTGGTTATCTGATATAATGTCCTCAGGTCCCTTTTGCCTTCTGCCTTTTCAGCTTCAGTAGCTAGATTGTCGTAGAATCGTCTTTTGTCCTTCCTAGCACTCTTCTTCACTTCTTTGTTCAGTGCTTTGTAAGTTGAGCTCAGCGTCTCTTTTTTCTGTCCGTCCTTGCATTGAATCATTTTCTCTTTCACCATTCTCCTCTCTTCTATTAATTTCCAAGTGTCCGTTGAGAGCCATTCTTTGTCTTGTCTCTTCTTTCTTCCTAGAACCATTGAACACGTTTCGTCGAGAATCGCCTTCAGAGACTTCCAATGTTCTTCCACGCATGATTCTTCAGTGATGTTACGTAGTGTTTCCTGCTTTGCTCTGACAGTTGCAGTGAAAGTGTCTTTTGTGGTTGTGTCCTTCAATAATTGAGTGTTGAACTTACATTGTGGCCTATCCCCAGCTATCCTCGAGGCTTTTAGTTTCACCTTGAAAGTCACTTCTACTAGATAGTGGTCTGAACCCACATCTGCTCCTCTCCTTGACCTTGTGTCCACTAGGCTCCGTCTCCACTTTCTTGAAATTGAGATGAAGTCTATTTGATTCTTGGTGTTTCCATCTGGTGAAATCCACGTCGTCTTGTGTATATCCTTATGTTTGAACACACTACCGCCAATCACCAAATCATTGAAAGCGCAGAAGTCTGAGAAGAGTTCACCATTGTCGTTCATTTCACCGAGGGCCTCTCGACCCATGGTGAGTTCTCTTCCTGTGTTGTCTCGTCCCAGCTTCGCATTCACATCGCCCATCAGGGTTTTGATATCGCCATTTGGGACGTTGTCCATTTTTGCTTGTAGTTGTCTGTAGAACGCCTCCTTCTTCTCATGTTCTGAGACGTTTGTAGGCGCATAGCATTAAATGACTGCAACTTTCCTTCCTTTTGAGTTGAGCCTGGCTGTCATTATCCTGGAGGAGATTGGTTCCCACTGCATGAGAGCTTTGGTTGCTGTTGGTGACATCATGATGGCCACTCCCTCGGTGTACTCATGGTTGTCCTCTAGGTGGCCGGAAAAGAATACTGTCTCTCCAGTAGGTAGTTGGCACCTTCCAGTTCCGTTCCATCTGCTCTCACAGATTCCCAACACTTCTATTCTGTACCTTCTAATTTCAGTGGCTATCTGGGCAGCCTTTCCAGTTTCGTACATTGTACGAACATTCCAGGTACCCGTCCTTACTTTTGCTTTCATCGAAAGAAGGTACATTGGCTGACTGGCTTCCCGAAGTCTTGCGCCAGATTATTGTTTATGCTTTTAGAATTTTTAATATATTTATTCGTTGAAGTTTCTGTAGCGATTTGGTTGTTTTACAGGGGTGGAGTTGCTAGCACCACGCCCCAACCCTCCCTCTTTACCCAGACTTGGGACCGGCTAGAAAACTAGAAAGCTGGTAGCCTAGCAAGCTAGTAATCTGGCGAGGTTCTTTAATAAGTACTTCGATTAGATAGCGAAACGTCAGTAAACGCAACAGTATCGTTTTGTTTTTCATTCATTGGGAAATACAAAAGGAACCTTTATTATAATCAATATCATATGTCTTTCTGTCTATCTGTTTTTGACATAAAACTTCGCGCCGATGTGCGACAGTTCGATTCACCACACTCCCTCCATGTAGCACACAAAGCAACAGAAGAAAGTAGAAGAAATGCACAATAGAGACAGTGAACAGAGGTATGAGACAAAAGGAATAGTAATAACGAAGAACAATATAGTTTCATTGGAAATCATAAGTCACAGCGAGTGGATGCATGTGCAATAGTCATTGAGAACGATAAGTTTGAGCCATATCACCAATTGTTTCCAACCATTGGTTTTTACCTTCCCGAGGACCACAACCAGGAAGTCTACATCTTCCTACATGGCTGGCTTAAACTAACTGTTGTGCATTTCATTGACTGGTGCCATGTTTTCGTTTGACCGCCGCTGGCTAGCTCTTTTCCAGCCTGACTCTATGTCAGCTAACATTGCCCATTGTCGAGGAAGGCGATGACTAGACAGGCGTGCTCAAAACATGTCCTAACTACCTCTTTCAGTCGATGTAACTTCACAGCCTCGTCGATTGATTTCCCCTCCTTACCTGGCACTCGACTGATGCCTCACCTCAACATTCCTCACCCTATTATACCACTTCACACAGGAGATAGAGCCCAGCCACCTGTGATCAAAGACAGCTAGCCGGCCTTTTCATGTCTTCCATTCTCACTGGCCAGGTCTCACAGCCATAAAGTCAATGCCTAAATTTTTTCACTGTTAGAAGTCAAGTTGGTTTGGACATACATAAAATAACAAAGAGAACTGAACAAGACGAAGAAGGAGAAGACAACGACGATAAAGCAGACAAAGGAGAAACAGGAGATTCACTTACCTCTCCGTTGTATTATGCTGTAAAACAGTCGAATAGAAAGAAGCGGCTATCATTATACCAATGGCTGGCGTTTTTGTTTGTTTGTTTGTTTGTTTGAATGTTTTATTTTCAAAAATGATATTTCAATTTGTCATGAAATGAATAGAAAATAAAAATAAAAACAATCACTCACAAGAGAATAAATGTGGTGATTGACAATTTCTATCTCTGTATTGTTTAAATACTTACTGTTGCTTGTTAATATATTTCTAATATGAATTGAATAATAATTCCGCCAAATACAAATTCCTGAATTCATCCCTGTCTGTGTCTTGGTTGAATTCTTGTAATTCTGTCATCGCGAAATACTAATACTACGACTACAAAGAATTACAACATTTTGGAGTCGCGATGGGATTAAATAACCTTGGAAAGTTCCCTATAAATGGTTCTCCGCGGGAAATTGCTGATTATCTTGAATGCTTCGACGCATGGTGCATGTCAAAGAATGTTCGGGATCACAAAATTACAGCTCATTTCATTACTGCTATTGGGCTAGATGCCTATAGCCTAGTGAAGACTCTGTCGTTTCCTGATAAACCAATTTATTTGCCATATGATAAGCTCTGTGAACTTCTGATAGATTCTTTCCATATAACTACTTTTGAAACACGAGAGAGGGCTCAGTTCAACAAACTGGTTCGTGCTCCAAACCAGAAGATTAGAGACTTTATTCTTTAGTTTCAGATACAAGCTTCGAAGTGCAACTTTGGAGATCAGCTGCATACTCAACTACGTGATCGTCTAATTGCTGGCTGGAATCAATATTCCTAAGTTAGAGAAAGAGTTAATTCAGATTCCTTCTTGTACCTTTCAAACTGCTAAAGATTTATGTATTACATATGAAGATGTCAACAGTGAATACTCTGCTCCTACTACGTCAGTATCTGATGTCATGCTGTCCAAAGTCGAAAATACAAGTGTTCATGGAAAGCAATCCAAACTGTCGTCCACAGGTAATAGAATGCAGCGAGAGATCAAAAACATTAAACCGTGTTTATCCTGTGGAAAGTTACATCTACGAAGCACTTTCCGTTTTCGGGGTGCTAAGTGTCATAAATGTGGTAAAGTTGGACACATCAAGACTGTTTGCAGAAGTTCGAATACTTATGTTACTCAGAATTCTTATGATTCTCCCAATCTGTCCAGTAAAATGAAGTCAATGTGTCTTTCAACTTCTCAAAATACTCAATCTCATCCAATGAAAACCTTCACTGCAAGTTCAGCAACTCAGGTGCCGACTGTATCACGTGTTTTTAAAAATGAGGTAGCCGAGTTACGATGCTATCTGTCTAAAACACGAAAAAATTTGTTAGAGGTTTAAGAGAGCTTGGAAAGTAGCAATGAATTGGTTGGTTGTTTACAGGCAAAGAATAAAAATTTGACAGTTAAACTTTCAGCTGCTGAAAATTCCTGTTTAATGAAGGAGAAAGAAATCTCCAGACTAGTAACTCAATTCGTTGAGCTGGAATCTGAGAATAAGCGAAGTGGTGAAAGGATCCACGAACTTGAATGTTTTGTTGAGTCAGCGTCGGGTGTGCAAAAGGATTTAGAACATCACTGTGGAGTGTCTCGGAAAAAAGTGAGTGAAATGGAAGCTGGCTGGTTGTCCATTCGTCAATAGCTAACTGAGATGAGAGAGCAACTAATTAAAAGGGAGGAATTGCTGCATATGCATAGACTGCGTCTGTTGAATGCAGAACATACAAGTACCCATGAAAGTCCTGCAAAACTATTCACATCTCGAATTCTCAGAAAGCATCTGATGTCCACGACTTCTAATGTACATTATTACAAAGGGAATGACTATAGACCTTCTGTCGGAATCATAATACAAAAATGGGAAATCGAATGGAGAGGAAGATATTAGACATCAAAGATCACTCAGTTCGTAACAGACACCTGGACAAAGTGAAAATAAATGGAGAAGGTCGTTACGATTATAATCTTAATGATTCCAATACTAATCCTGATTTTGTAGATAATTCAGAAATAAGTCCAGATAATAGTGATGAAAATAATATCACAGAATCAGTTAGAATGTTACCATCGAAAACTTTGATGTTTTCGATGAAGATATAGTTGTGTTCAAACATTGGTGTTATTCAAGTGTTGGTTTGTAGGGATTTGATTGGTTACAAGGTTTCGTCATTAGCTCACATTAGTTAGAGAACCATTGGAAAACCTGGGAGTACTGGACAGCTGTTTCGTCAGCCTAGTTTGGGACTCTTCATCAGTACGCACCCACCTGGATTCGAGTCCCAGTGGCTTAATGGTATACGAGCTCACCTTGTAACCAGAAGCTCCTGGGTTCGAATCCCGGTGGGTTCATACTGCTGAAGAGTCCCAAACTAGACTGACGAAACAGCTGTCCAGTACTCCCATGTTTTCCAATGGTTCTCTAACTAATGTCAGCTCATGATGAAATCCTGAAACATTGGTGTTATTGTTATGTTTTTTTTCATCATCAGGGCAACCGAACTTTATACGAGAGTAGAGTGTGAATGAAAAGAGTAAATTTCAGTAATTAGATAGAAGGATTGTCGTGGAGTTTAACAATGACATTTCAGAGAGAAGTGGCTTGAAGGATTAGAACCAGTTGGATATGCTGACTTGTAAGATGTCTGGCGGACTTGTGTATGTCCCATATGGTAGAATCTTGACAAGAAACTGAGCAGGCCTGTAGATATTAGGGGCAAAAACATTATTTTTTTTTATAATTTAGATCTGTGAAATCATGATTTTCTTTCCGATGATTCATTTTCATGAGCTGTACAATCGTAATTCTGTCATCGCGAAATACTAATACTACTGTGGTGAGAGCAGGCCGTGAGAAAATATGAGCAAGGCTGATTCAACAACCAATCACAGCAAAGTTAACTTGGCAAAATATGATTCGCAGATAGAGAACGCTATTTGTCGAGGAATCCCGAAACAACCAATCAGAAGCCTGCGTTTGTCTGCCTAACTTCTGATAAACAACCAATCAGATAACTGCGCTTGTCTACTTGCATAAGCTATAATAATGTATGTGAAATATATATAAATACGTGTTGATTTTCATAATAAAACGATCTGTTGCCTGGCCCTTGTCTTCTGTTGTTACACTACTATTATAAATAATTACAACAATAAAAATGGTAATAAAATGCTTATATATATATATATATATATATGATTATAATAAAGAGCAATGTTAAATAGTTGTAGGCAATTTAGCCTCAGTGTACGAGCTGATATAATGAAGAGTGGAAAACACCCATATGGACAGTAGAAACAAGAGAACAAGAAGTTCAGCAAAGATATCTATCTTTTCGCCGATTTCATTCTCTAAAGCAACTGTACAATCGCATTTACATAAATTAGTTTACATGGATACAATTATTATTTATTTAATTTATTCCACATAGTAACGAAGGTGATAATAATTTTCAATTTGATATGAAAGTTTGAAGGTAGGAATATGGATTACAAGGGGCTTAGAGACAAGGTTGCATAGGATTAGAAAATGTCTGTCTGTCTGTTTTCGACATAGAACTTTGCACAAATGTGCACCAGTTCAAGTCGCCACATTCCGTGTAGCACGCGAAGCAAGAGAAGAAAGTACAAGAAAAGCATAATAGAAACAGTGAGCAGAGGTGTGAGACAAAGGAGTAGTATTAACGAAGAACAAAACAGTTTCATTGAAGATCATAAGTCACAGGGAGTGGATGCATCTGCGCCACTGAAAACGATTTTGAGCCATGTCACCAATTGTTTCCAACCATAGATTTTTACCGTCCCGGGGACCCCAACCAGCCAAGAAGGATACACCTTCCTACGTGGCTTAGACCAACTGTTGTGGATTTCATTGACCGGTGAGGCCAAGTTTTTGTTTGACCGCCGCTAGCTTTTTTCCAGCCTGACCCTATATCCGCTAACATTGCTCGTCGAGGGAGGCGATGACTGGTTAGGCATACGTAACACATGTCCTAACCATCTCAGTCTTTGTAACTTCACGACTAGTTACAACGTGTGCAAAATTAATATTTGATAACTACAGAAATATATATATATATTTCATGATTTAAATCTTCTGGCCTAGTAGTTAGGCCAGATTTTGATTACATTAATTAGTCATCTAATTCTGTGATATCAACTCACAGAACAAATCTCAGTCTTATAAACTGGAACCGCTTTTCAAATATTGGTGTTTGTAGGGATTTGATTGATTGGTTACAGGATTTCATTATGAGCTAACATTGGTTAGAGAAGCATTGGGACCGCTTTGGTTTTCTGTGCGGTCCTACGTGCAAATACAAGCTAACACAACCTGATCATTAATTTTTTCTGTTTTCGGTCTTACCCCTTCCACCCCACTTACTTCAGAGACTCAGGGATGGACTTTCTACCAGGGAATAATCTCGCTGACTTAGAATATGCAGATGATAAAGTCTTTCTAGGCGAGGACGCTGACAAAATCCAGCAGAGTCTTCTGAACACCTTCAGCTGCAATCTACGAATGTTTGGAGTGCGATTCGCTCCCGCCAAATGTAAGATGATATTACAGGACTGAACTACACTGACTCCTAGATTAGAAATAGGGTGTGAAGTGGTAGAGCACGTTGACCACTTCGCCTATTCTGAAAGTATCATCAGCCCCAACGGGTTGATCTCTGACGAAATCTCCGCACGGATACAGAGAGCTAGTTTCGCATATGCCAGTTTACACCATCTCTGGCTTAGTAGACGTGATATCCGGGTGGCTATCGACCAAAGGGCGAGTGTACTGCTCATCATTCCGCTCCATTCTGCTTTATGGCTGTGAGACCTGGCCATTGAGAGTGGAAGATATGAAAAGATTAACTGTCATCGATCATAGGTGCCTGTGTTCTATCTCCCATGTGAAGTGGTATAGTAAGGTGAGCATTATTGAGTTGGAGGGTAAATCAATCGAAGAAGCTGTGAAGTTACACCGTTTGAGATGGTTAGGAAATGTGTTGCGTATGCCTAGTCATCACCTTCCTCGACAATG